GGCTTCCTTCCTTTATTCTTATTGGGCTGAGTTGACCCTTCATTCTTGTTGGGCTAAGTTGAAATGGTCTGTTCTGAAGGCCCAATACCTTTTAATTCCTTTTCTTTTATAGACATAGGTATTAACGGAAGAGGGCTCATTTTCTTAATTTTATCGAACACTTCTTCTCTATCAACTGAAAAAGCTAGAGCCCTATCTTCTTCTGCCTTCACCTCATTCTGTATCTCATCACCTTATCACGAGTCTTGACAGATCGTCAGAACTTTAGTAGAACTCTGTTGTAACTTTAGAAAGATTATTTAGAAGTCCTAGCGAATCACCAGAAGTTCTAATACAAGGGCAAGCCTTTCCCTGCCACGAGTCCTGGTAGATCGTCAGAACTCCAGTACAAATTGTGTTATAACTTTCGTACAAATTAATTCAGAAAATCAAATCATCAAGACCTCTGTTTTAAAAGGCAGAATTGGGACTCGCCCGGGGCTCGCCCCTGGGCGGAGCACTCGTAAAACGCCCCTGGGCTTATGTGTGGGGCTTAGTTCCATGAGACTTACGCCTCGGCCATTGGGACTTACGCCCCGGACACGCCCAGCGCCCAGCGTACCGGGCTCGCCTAGTAGAACTTTATGCAATTGTATGTAACTAACCTTGTAAATCCTCAAATTTTCTTAATAAATCGTTGACTATTCAAAATTACTTTTTTCCTAATTATAAATCATTAAGTTTAGACTATTTTATGTCATAATTAAAGTAAAAATTATTGCACGTTATCCACTAAGACTGCTATGATAGTTAATTTTAAATAAATCTTTCATTTTAAAAGTATTTATTTATTAACTTTTGTATGTCTTTACTATATAATAGTCCATAACTTTTTTATAATTATTTTTCTAAATATTTTTTTTCATGTTTATGAGATACTATACTTATTAATTTAATAGCTCAGTATTAGCAACTATTTACAAATAATTAGTTATCGTGGTATTGTATGGTGAATTATGTTTCACTTTATGAACTTGTTGAAACTTAAAAATGAACAATGCTTGAGAATCACATTTAAATTGTGAATTATGTTTTTATATAAATTCTCTTTCAAATACAAAGCATATTAAATAGAAGGAGTATTTAAAGAAAAACATCAAATTATAATATCGAAATTCTTTCAAGATTCATTACTCCTTAAGAGATACATATAAGATTTCGTATCTAATACATTACTTTTGATGTTTGAGCTGTAACGACGTTGCAGCTAATTTGCATATTATGATATATGTCATACTTTTCGTATTATTCATAGTTGAATTATAATTTATAAATATTTTAAATAGATTATTTGTTATAATTTTGTGATTTTAATGTAATTTTATAATTATTTTTTATTTTATACCATCTTAAAATTCTTGAAATTAGTAAAATTTAAAGATCCGTGGGACTTACGCCCCATGTCTCAGGGCTTACGCCTCGCCTCGTCAGAGGTAAAACGCCTCGCTTCACGCTCCCGCCTTTTAAAACATTGGTCAAGACTTGCTCAAAAATTTTACCAACGCACGCGTTTTTGCTTCAAAGTTTATCTATATTAACTTCAAATGACTGAAAATTTAAATTCAACCTTCTAACGGCTATCCCAACAACTTCCAATGGTTTGGTTCAACCCAAACCTTCAAAAATCAATAAACTCATTTTGTCTATTTCAACAATCAATTTTACAAACCCCAACAATGATGTCTTTCAAGTTTCTTCGATCAAATCAACTACAAATAATAATGAATTTTTAATTTTCTACAACACATATGAAAAAGATAAAGAAGACGAAGAAGGAGAAAGAAGTTATAGTGGATGACCTATATTTACAACTTCTAAAATCGGGAATAAAAGTTAAATACAAATCCTTAAAAGAACATTCGGTGAAAATCTTGATCATATGATAATAGCACAACCTATTGTTGGACAAACTATGATTGTAGTTCTCATATTCTTTTTACTATAAAATTCAAAACAATGTATGAATATTGATAAGTAAGTCATATGAACTTAGGAAGGAACATAATTTTTCGCCCGTAGCTTAGGGAAGTCATTTTCTAGAGGTAAACAACAGAACATTTTCTACTGTACGAAGTACTCTAACACTGGAAAGTTTCCACAAGGAAAAGATTTAATGGAATGTTTTCAATGTATTTTTCCTTGAAAATTTTCTGCTTCTGCATTTCTGGAGCTGATAAAAGAAGAAATTGGTTTTTTGACTGAATTTTTAATGTCGTATTTTTGTTTGGGATGGAATATTTGACGTGATTTTTAAAATTAATTACATTAATCATAACCTCCGTTATAATAGAAAATCAATTTTTATATTACTGACTTTATTACTTGAGAATAATTATCTGCAAAGTTGATTTAGAAATTAAAATATCAAAATCTATTTACAATTACAAAAACAAAACCAAACGGCCCTCATAATAATTGGAACGTCTAAGTTTTTAGCCTACGTGTCACGTCCTTAGTTTTGAACTAAGCACACGTGCGACACTTGACAACTCGCTCACGATCTTGCACAACTTGCTCACGTTCTTGCTATGCCAAGTCAGCCTTACTACACTAAAGATCACTAAGGGAATGTTAGAACACAGGAGAATTGTCAGATGAAGCTTTTGTATTAGAGAGAACTTGATTGTTTTGCTTGGTAAGTTTACAAATGAATGCCCCCTATTTATACTAATCACCTAGGGGCTACTGTGTAAATAATAATTGTTCCACAAGTCCTTCCATATTTACAAAAAAGTACACTCTCTAGAATCTTCTATATAGCTAGAATCATCCAAGGACCTTCCTAATAATTCCATAGGGTTGTACGGTCTTCCTAATGAAACCTCTATATTTTTCTAGAACCTTCCTACAAGTGCATAAATATCTAGAGCTTTCCCAAGGAAATTCTCCATAGTTCTAGAATATTCCACCAAGATCTAGTCCCTAACTTATGTAACTCTTCCATATGGCAAAAATATATGACAAGTGACACCTACATGGCATGATGATGTGGCGGGTCATGACACTCTCCCCCCGCCCAATTTTGTGCCGCACTTGGCACAAAGCATCGACACGCGCACCTCGCTTTGGCGTCGCCGAAAATCTTTGTCCATTAGCCATGATGCCCTATGAAGCGGTTTGCCTTCCCATGTTACAAGGTACTGGTCACCTTTCTTTTTGCTTTGTTTGTGCTTTGGACGGCTAGCAATGATGGCCTTGATCCCCTGCTCATTGGATGCCTCTCCTTGCTTTTGGCCTGAATCTCCCCATGACTCGACCAAGTCTAGCAGTTTCTCAAGCATCGGGCCCATGCTTCCACTCCCTATTTGGCTGCCCTCCGTGGTCCAGCCTTCCTGGCAAACTTGAACCCTCTACTTGGTGCATCATCTGAGTCCGATAGCATGTCATCACTTTGTAACTCGTCATCCTCTTCAACTATGTCCGTCCAATTTTACTTGCTGCCACCATGCTCCATTTGCATGGCGCCAAGATAGGCTTTGGAATCCCCTACTTTTGGCTTAGATTCCAAGCACATCCCTCCAATGCAGGCGGTTTCTCCTGTGTCGCCCTTATGTTCTTGAGCAATGTTCCCGATCATTACTGCAAGCTTCCCCAACTCTGAGTATTCACTTGCCTGATGTGATCCTTTACAGATGTAGCACCCTTCCTTAGGCACGTACTCGCTACCGTTTTTCGGCTCCTTGCCGTTTCTCTTGGACCCATATCTGTTATGGGATGGCCCCTTGCCATTGCCCTTGTATATCTCGACTATGCCTTTCCCGTTGTCCTTGTCATGATCTCCCCCCACCCCTCTAGGAGTTGCCTTCTTTGGACTTGGCAGGCTCCATCTTGAGGTCAACAAGTGAGTCAGCTACTCTGATGGCCTCGTTTACGTTGGCTACTTGACGTCTTCTTAACTTCCGCTTTGCCCCAATTTTGCAACCCATCCATGAAGTAGAAGAGGAAATCTTCCTTGGACAATGACGAGATTTGCAGCATTAAGGTAGTGAACTCGCGCACATACTCCCGTATTGTGGCCTCTGTCGGAGTTTCCTTAGCTTCCGCCAGTCTGCCACATCGAGTGCGTCTCGTGCACTACCATGCTGCTTTCTCTTAGGTACCTTCACGTTGGTCCTTTCTGCAAGTACCAAGCCCTTGGTAATTCCGGCCATGGTTCCCTACAAAACTTCCTTCTAATAATCTCTTGTATTCTTTCTAACATTCCTTAGTCTTAACCTTCGCTCTGATACCACGTTGTCACGTCCTTAGTTTTCAACTAAGCACACGTGCGGCACTTGACAACTCGCTCACGATCTTGCACAACTTGCTCACGTTCTTGCTATGCCAAGTCAGCCTTACTACACTAAAGATCGCTAAGGGAATGTTAGAACACAAGAAAATTGTCAAAAGAAGCTTTTGTATTAGAGAGACTTGATTGTTTTGCTTGGTGAGTTTACAAATGAATGCCCCCTATTTATACTAATTACCTAGGGGCTACTGTGTAAATAATAATTGTTCCACAAGTCCTTCCATATTTACAAATAAGTACACTCTCTAAAATCTTCGATATAGCTAGAATCTTCCAAGGACTTTCCGAATAATTCCATAGGGTTGTAGGGTCTTCCTAATGAAACCTCTATATTTTTCTAGAACCTTCCTACAAGTGCCCGCAAGGAAATTCTCCATAGTTCTAGAATATTCCACCAAGATCTAGTCCTTAACTTATGTAACTCTTCCGTATGGCAAAAATATACCAAGTGACACCTACGTGGCATGATGATGTGGCGGGTCATGACATAACGGCTGAAGTAAATAGATCAACCTAAATCAGCCCAATTTGATAGAGACAAATTCAACCAGAAGGTTTTAGATACAAAAATAAGAAAAAAGTCCTCATATGTATGTAAATTTTCTAATGTTTATACAATATGTGGATATCACTTGAAAATAATATAAAATAGAAATTAATTTGAGACAGGAAATAAAGCAATAAAACCAATATAGTGAAAGAAGCATAAAATCTATTTCGTTGAACACATATGAAGCACCCCAATCTCTGTCATGAAACATACTAGTATAATACAATATATCTTCCAAATACAAAGGGAACAACAATCTGAAAAACAAATGTGTAATCCAAGATTTCATCACCTAGCAATTTACAGCGGGTTGTGCCATTGGCACATTGCCATGTCCACCAAAAGGTTGCCCTCTAAACATTGATAAAGTCTCTAGGAGATGATGCTTTGCTTTCTCAAAATTAATTAATCCCATGAACCAAAAGTCATGACTATCAATGGTAACAATCTGAATGTACCTTTCCGATGGATTTTCTCTTATCACTACAGGGTTGATAGTGCCAATGTTTGCCAATGGTATTGCAACCTATATACAAGTCGAAAGCACTCGTTAACTGAAGGAGCAATATCAGTAGTAGTTTTAACACGCAATTGTATGCACATCTCCCATGTGTTCAGTAGTAGTTTTAACACGCAATTGTAAGCACATCTCCCATGTGTTTAGTTTCTCTTCTTTTATTCATTTTCATCGCCGATAAGTATCACAAATAGATAGTGGCAGAGCCAAGAATTTATACAAAAGGATTTGACAAAAACCCGAAATGTCATAGTTGAGATTCAAACATGAGAGCTAAAGCAACTTTTGAACCCCTTTAACACTATACTAGATTATTCTGTTATGTTTAGAGTATTCAACACTTTATATATAATAAAAATTTAATCGTTATTTCCCTACTCGCACAGTATATTTTTCGATGAAAAGGGATTCAATTAAACCGTTTCCCTCCACCTAACTCTGCCCCAGGTTTAGCACTTTCAAGGAGAACTTAATACAAGTGTACCTTTTTCTGGTGCACTTATAGTAAGATATAATCGACTCATCAGAAAAAATACGTAGTATAATGTATTGGCATTCAGTGATTTATAGTCTAAGTTTGCACGACTTAATTACCTTATAGTAGCTCCAAGCTTCCTGTCCAGATGGAGCTCCGAAAGATAAGGGACGATCACTGCAGAAAGCCACTTTAGTAGATGACAAATACAGAGTTCCAGCAACAGGGCCAGTTGTTGTAGATAGGTAACAAGCAAATGTTTTCTTCAACTGCTCATTTGGATCTGTAGCAAAATTCTGCTTGTATAATGGCTCAAATCCTCCCTCTGTCAAAGCCTTAGCTGTCAATTTAAGCTTTCCACATGCAGCTTCGGACACTGATGGCCCAGTTCTCACTACAACATGAAGAACAGGCTAGATCTATCAACAGTTGTTAATTTGACACTTATAAATATATTTGTCTGGTTTAGCTTGGTGAAATAGACATAATCAAATAAATAATTAAATATTAGTAAGTATAATTTAAGCTTTTCGATAAGGTGATAAGACAACATAAATCTCTTAACCTGCCATAATCTTAGTGTGACTATAAAAGCTAGTTATTTGTGTTGTAGTTAATTATTAAGATTAAATGGGAAATTTAAGTTAATGGCGGACGCACGTGGTGGCAAGCGGGTTCAACTGAACGCGCTTCACCAAAAAATAATACTGTATATATATATGTATAAATTACGATTAAAGCAGCGTAAATTTTGTATAAATATTTTATTTGAACCCACTTGACAATTACTATTTTACTACTAAATTTAAGATTGAATAAGGTCCCATCAATTGAAACGAATGAGGTAATATTTTAGATGACCCAGTCACACAATTCAACAAACAATTAGAACTCACGGTTATGCCAGACGTTGCGGGCGGCGGTCTCAGCTTTATTACTCCAAAAATTGAGCATATGAACAACAGGATCAAGAGGGTTGTTGCTCGGCCTTTGGACAGGAGAATACACAAGGTAAGGCTGCGGTTGAAAATCATGGCGCTGGTCCTGATCAGCTCTCCATAAGGCAGCCTTCTGGTTGTCTGGATGTGTAGTTGGAACTGCTGGAGGTCCCATAGTATGGGTACCCAATTTTGCCCGACCCATATCAGGTGATGGATCTTGTGATCCTGAAGTTGATGAAGGAGCTGCAGTGGGAAATGTTTCGTGGGGTTCTGCTTCTTTAGCTTTAGCTGGTATTTGGTTATTCTCTGGTGTGATTGTCATAATCGATCGGTCAAAGAAAAAGTTTATACTGTCTGATATGGTAAAGATTCTGCTGAGAATCTGCTTTAGTAGAATGGAGAATTTTAAGTGGAGAAATGGTGAAGGACTATGTTTTTATATAAAGTATTGAAGAAGATAAGAAATAGGATATATTCTGTAAATGCCAACGCGTTTTCTTTTGCTTTGTTATGAAGATTATGCTGCAAATTAAAGCAGTTAGCAAGAGAACATCAGCTGAAAGAGATACCAATTATACTTCCTCCGTCTCATATTATTTACGGTGTTTCTCTTTTAAAAATACTTATTAAATAAGAAAGATTTTTGATTATTTTGCCCTTATTTATGTCTTAAGATATAATTTATCTTCATTTATTACTTACTCATAATTAAGGTATTTGTAATCTTCAAGAACAATTAATATTAAGGATAGAATAGGAAAAAAAATTATTGTTGAACTTTTAAAATAATAATTTGAGATAACTATTTTTAGAAATTACAGACACATAATATGAGACAGATGGAGTAGAAGATTATCTCCCACAAATATTTTGCAACATACTTTAATTTAGTAATTTTAAATTAGAATTTATTTAGTAACGTTTCAGATCCCACTATGTGGGATTTTACTGGGGTAGTTGTAGTTTATTTAGTAACGTTATGTGTTTGGTTCCGGTGTCTACCTTTTTTTGCATAACAAAGGAGAAACAAGGAAGGTCAACTGGTTATCATTGGATTCAAAATGATTATTCTTTTATATTTTCTCGGTAGTCTACTCGGTTAAGAAATGGCTTACATTTAGGAAATTTCCTATGTTGCCAGTTTGCACTGTATTTGTACCAAAAAAAAAATTGCTTGGCTTTCTCGTGGTCTGCCAAGCCATGTATTCGTTTGGGAGATAATTTTATTCATGGTCATTGAACTTTTGTGTTTGTTATACAAAAGTCATTTTTCTTTTTTTTTGTTACGTAAAAGTCATTCAACTTTGTGTTCATTATACAAAAGTCACTTTTCTTTCTTTTGTTACACAAAAATCATTTTACTTTTAGTTATCACAAAAGTCACATTTTTACTTGAAAAGTCTATTATACCCTTGATATAAACCTTCATATTTATGTAATACATTCTATATTATATTTTTAATATAGAAGAGGAAGAAGAGGTTTGTACGGGGTTAGTCGAGGATCGGGTGGGGAGCTTTGTCTAAGGATAATGCGCAGGAGTTGGAGGGGCGGCTTACGAATATGGGTGCCTGGAAGAGTGGTGGGGACGCTAGCGCTATGTGGACGGCGACGACTGACTGTATAAGGGAGGCAGCAAGAGAGGTGTTGGGAGTTTCGAAAGGTTACTCTAGCGGGCACCGAGGCGAATGGTGGTGGAATGACGTGGTCCAAGGTAAAGTGAAAGCCAAGAAAGAGGCTTACATTAAGTTAGTAGAGAGCACCAACGAGGATCAGAGGAGAGCGAACAGGGAAAGATATAGGGAGGCTAGGAAGGAGGCGAAATTAGCAGTCACAGAGGCTAAGACTGCTGCTTTTGGTCGGCTTTTGATCACGCCCAACTCTAGTCCTAAAAAGGATAAGTGGTCGCTGCAAATATAATCCGGTCTAAAAGTCCGAAGTCGAATCCCACAGAGAACTAAGGCTTAGCTATATCTGTTTAATATCACTAAGAAGACAAGATTGAACAATTTTCTAAATTATAAAGATTGAGATTTATATTTCTAACTAATTAACTAGCAAATACTAGAAAACGGTAAAATTATCAACTAACAGGACAAAGGGTTGGAGACTAAATTAAGGAGGTCTAGAGTTATGATTTTCCCAATTATCGGAATCCTTCTAGCTATGTTCCCTATAATTTGCCAATGTATTCTCTACTGATCGTGAGCACTTTAGGTGCCGTAATTCTCTCTCGAGCAACTATAATAATTTACTAGACATATTCTCTCGAACTACGCTAGTTGGCTTTATCTAACCGCTCATTATGACCACGTCAAGGCTTTGTTATTTCTAAACTTACCTTTAAACCCAATATATTTATTTCTCTCATACGTTGGAAGTGACGTTGTTCAACAATTACCTAAATTTGTATTCTCTCTCAAGCAGTTCACACTAAATAGGCACAGTCAATTGATGGCCATTCAATCAACAACAACAAACACGTAGTTGAACAAGTAGAGAAATCCAATGGCTCAATTATATAAAAATATAACAAGAATTTATCCTACAAAAAGTTCTATCAAACCCCTAGAAAACGAATTAGCTATTCATAATAGTATGTAAAACTACAATACTAAAAATCATAACCAACAATGAAAAATAGGAAGAGGAAGGAAAAACTTGTTGAAGAATTCCCCGCCTTGCTCCTATTGTGTCTCTGCCTCCTTAGGTCGAGTCTGTGTCAAAAATTGGTCTCTTCCGCCTCCTTAGGTCTAAATTATGTTAAAAGTGTGTCCAACCTCTCAAAATACCGTTTTTCCATGTATATATACCAAGTAGGGTCGGGCCCAAACTATTATACCTTCTCCTACGCGAAAAAGGACAACTTTTTCACGTCTGGACGCCGCGGTCGCGGTCAACCACGGTATGACCGCGGTATATGGCAAGTATACTGCCTCAGCCCGCCTCAGGTCAGCGGTCGCGGTTTCGACCGCATTTTTTACCCTGTTCTGTTTGGAATTTGGAAAAACGTAAAACACAAAAGTTGTATCCCTTTGAGTTAGCTTTCCAACCATATATTATGGAGCCCAAATGGAGTTCTGAGCGAAAAGCTATGTGCATTTTAGTAGACAGTGCGCAATATGCCTACTCGATTCTTCGTTTTGTTGCTCTATCATCCGTTGATCCCCGAATACGATCCCGGCTTAATTCCTTGGGCTTTTACTCAGACTTCAAAGCTCCAAATCACTTAAATTCATATCATAACATCTAAATAGCTCGAAATCACCCCTAGAAGGCATAAAACACACCGTTAGTGCAAAACACGAGCGATTAAAGCGCAAACTCAACTAAAGTGTAGTAAATTAGAGTGTAATAATCGACAAAAATACGCAATTATAGCTATCATCAACACCCCACACTTAATCCATTGCTCGTCCTCGAGCAATCAAACTACACTTTGTTATAGACACGACCTTTTTAAACAATTCTCCTAACTCATCACACCAAGAGTATTTAAAATAGACTAAGCACAAAAGCGTAACATCTTCACCTCAAGATTTGACTCACAAGTGCTACGCATTATTCACGACTCACCTACTTACTCTAACATAGAGGTAACTACATTACCTTTCCTTTATGAATCAAGTGCCCTCGCACAAGAAAAGAGAGTAGTTCCACACAATAAAATTTAAGAGCACCTGGAAACTCAAGATAGAAAGAATTCACTCACTCTCAGAAATAACATTCATATGCCACAAAAGATGCACCATAAGCTTGCCCGTAGCGTACTACTCCACTAATCGAGCTCATTCAATCTAGGATCAATTAGGACTTTATTTGTTTGTAATGTAGGCTACGGGACGGGTAGGATACATTTAGATATAAGAATGACTACACCTCCCCAAGCACTTTAATACATATTCTTTAACATTCAAACCCAATTTTTATGTCAAACCAAAACTCCACCTTCACATCAATGTATATTACCCCATTCTTCTTTTAGCACACTTACATCAAGAGCCACCACTTATCAAGGAATTTTTTTTTTCACAACAATCCAACTATTTTTTTTTTCCAATTCAAGTGGCTCTTACTTTTTTTCAAAACAGTGCACCTTTCTCCTTATTTCATTAGTTCCACTCAAAAGCCAAACCAACCACCCCACACTTTAACTTTTACACAGTTCATAATAATTCAAGTGCTCATGAGAGGTTCAAAGGTTCAAATAGATGATTAATCAAATAAATAGGTAAGGCTTGTAATGTGGTTGCCAAAGAAACAAGATTACAGGCTCAAAGGGGTTAACTACGATACATAACAATTAGCTGGGTAAAATATACATATCTGGCTCAACAAGAAACGCCTATATCACTACCAGACTGAACAAACTACTATTTCGCTTTTGCTAAACACACAGGGC